GACACAGGGCACAGAATAAATTTTAATAACGCCAAAATTATAATGAAAGAAGCGATAGCCTCTAAAACAAAAATAAAAGAGGCTTTTTTAATACAATCTAATAAAAATAAATGTATTGCTCATGCATCTGCAGATGTTAGTAATGTATGGCAATCGCTTCTTTGATTTTAAAGAACATAACATAAATAAACATAACATACCTAAAAATTAAAAATGATCATACAGAAAGTTTGGGGCGTTTTGGCTTTACCTTATTAAGTAATTGTTATCAGGTAGTAATTGTTAATTTTGAAGTTCAACTTGGATATAATGTCATTTTAACAAAACGTCAACGGTTTTTATAGACGTAACTGTTTTAAAAAACTAAAGTGTTCTCGAATAGTTGAATTTAAATATTTTAAATAGTTTTTTTTCTTTATTCTTTGTATTTTTTTTTGCTTCCGACGACGGAAAGAGATAAACTTTCCGAAACGTTAAGCATTTTTTTGTTCGTTAGGCAAATTTGTATATAACTTCTGACAAGTAGTTTCCGTTTGGATTAACGCAGAAGTGTTTACAACAAATAACTATTTTATTTTGTAGATTTTCTTGCAGTGGCGAAATACCCATATAGGATTTTTTGGAGAGTACGTAGGTAATTGACACAATTTAATTTTAAATAAACAATGTCTTCACAAAGTAGTAACTGGGTTTATGTTCCTCATCTGTCGCAATAAAGATCTAAAATCACAAATCCAGTAAAAACAAAACATTAATTACAACAATGAAGATCGAAAGTTCAGAAATAATAATAAACAGCTGATGATTTACCGGTATCAAATTTGGAAAAGTGTGATTTAGTTTCAAAAAGTCAGGAGAAAAAGAAACAAAATATGTCCCTTTTTTTCACAATAAGAACTTAAAATTTTGAACGCAATTTTTAGGCAACTATAAAAACTTGATTAGCTCCAAGCAATAAACTTATCAGCTTGAGAGCACCAAGAAATTACTATCTCAATTAACAAATCGTTCAAGGTTGTGATGATAATGGCCACTATCTGTTTCAATGGCGCAGGTTCACAAAGTGATAAAACTGCTCGAAATAAGTCGGCCACCGGAAACCGGAAGGCAGGTGCACTATGGTTGTACCTTTAAATAATAATGAAAAATATTATTGCTGTCAAGAAAATTTCACCAAAACCCTTTATTTTCCATTGTTGGCATTTTTCCTCGGTTCAATATTGAAAACAAAACATTCTTAAGCCTGCCCCTTTAGATTTTCCCACCGATTAAAATTTTACTGTATTTCATTCTATTGTAATCGACAACAACAATGTTCGGCGTATAGTAGGCCAGTGGGATCCAATCTGACATGACATAATTGACCCCTCTATGGGAACAGAGGCCGTACAACCGTGGTGGTACCATAAACTTGTCTATGGGCGATTTTATGCCTGTACCGAAAGAAAGAAGACGTTACTCTAGGCTCGATAGCATTGAATGGTATTGACGATGAATGGCGAGAAGTGTTAGAAGCGGAGAATCAGCATAGGAAGTGTGTCTTCCATATTTTAATATGATAAACATACTAGTTCAGATATACAGGGTGGTCCGAATTGTAATCGAAAAAAATTGGCAGCTTATTCTACGGGTAAAAATAAATAGCAATTTACAGGCGATCAGGCAGTACTACCAGGGGATAAAGAAGACCAAGAGTATATGGCCCGTAAACTAAAAGAAACCTATGTAGACTGAGGACTAACAATAAATATGGAAAAAAAGAAATACTTGTGCATTAGAAGAGAATATTGTAACCTACAACTGGAAAACTCAGAAGAAATAGAAGCCTGTGATGAATATAAATATTTAGGGGTCATATTTGATAAAACGGGTTCAGACGACAAAAGAATGAGAGTGATACACGAAAGGCAATTAATTGTTTGAATTGAATTCTCTGAAGCAAAATTATTACGAAAATACGAAACGTAGTGTATTTTCATAATAATTTTATGAAATTATTATGAAAATAATAATTTACTTTTATATTATAAAATAATTAAAACATTCTAATTTAAAGTAATTTGTTATACAATTCAGAAACTTGGAGAATGACAGAAAAACATAAAGGAATAATAGAAGCAACCGAAATGGATGCAGTGAGAAGATCGGTCAGAGTATCCAGAACCGAGAGAGTGAGAAATCAAAATATCCGGGAACAAATGGGAATTCAGGACACGATTAATGACTGATATCGAAAGAAGGCAACTTGTCTGGTACTGTCATGTACAACGTATGAATGACATCAGTGGTTCTTGAGATATTTTTAATCGAAATAATGAATACACGTCATTATTGACACAAATGGATACGTTGACAAGGTAGTTGTAGAACTGAAATCATAATTTTGAACTGTTTTTGTGCCAAAAGTTCAACAGAAATTTGTCAAATACCGGGTGCGTCTCAAAAGTAGTTCATCCCTATAACTTTTTTATTTTTTTTTTCAGATAAAACAACGATATTTGGTATGTTAGTATATGACATAAATTAGGATTGATTGACATAATCAAATTGTTTTCGGTCACTTCCGGTTTCACCGAAAATGACTATAACTTTTATTTTTTAAATGACACCCTCGGTATTTTTTTACTTTATTTGATAGAAAATGACACTTCGAATAGAATGACATACCATATGTCAACTTTTTACATTTTAGCATATTATGGTTTATTTGTTATTGTAACATGCGGTTCATAACGACAATTTGACTTGAAACACCAAATGTGTGGTATCAAATTAATTGTAAAAAAATGCTTTTTCCAAATATGCTAATGAGCCACCCTCGTTCCATTTGAAAAAATTGAGATATGATTAAAAATACGATTTGGGCAACTTTTAACGGGCCAGGACAAGACACTAAAAACATTAGACGATCAAATCTATTTTTCCAAGGCTCCTTGATTAAAAATTAGTGTTTTAACACAGCCATTGCGGCCACTCTAGATTGAAATTTAAAATACAATTTGTTTTTGAGCGAATATGTCAAAAGTTGACCTATGATATGTCATTCGATTCAAAGTGTCATTTTCTATCGAATAAAGTAAAAATAAAATACCGAGGGTGCCATTTAAAAATCAAAAGTGGTAGTCATTTCCGATGAAACAGTAAGTGACCGAAAACAATTGAATACGTCAATCAATCCCTAATTTATGTCATATACTAACATACCAAGTTTCATTTTTTTATCTGAAAAAATAAAAAAAATATTGGGGATGAGCCACTTAGGAGACGCACCCCGGTATATATCATATTTTTTTCTAGAAAAGAATATGATTAAATAATTTAATAATTTTAAAAATAAAAAGTTCCCGAATTTATAGTTTCAGTCAAATAATTATCTAGTCAACATTTTTATACATGTCAATGATGACTTGTACTGATAATAATTTACATTTCAAATATCTTGAGAAGGGTTACTCGTATATTGCGATTTGTATCAAGAAGCTTTATTTACGTAAAAATGACGGATATGTATATTTTTTCACCAGGTACAATCAAAAAGTTATTACAGTTCAAACCAGTTAAAAATATGTAGGTGGCGCACAAATAGAAGTTATATTGACATCAAAATTAAATTTTCTAAGTCAAAAAACACCCAGACACAAATTTTCATCCAAATATTGACGTTACTTCAGAAATTATTTGGAAAAAATCGAAATAAAAGTAAAACTTCTACACCCTGTATCTTCTAAACGAAACATTTTATGACATAAATTTAATTTTTAACTTTTTTACTTATTTTTATCTGCAGAATATGCTGCCGAAGTTTCCCGAATACAATTCCGAATACATCCTGTATAGTTCAAATAGGCCAAAGAACTATTTTTTGTTTGGACCATTTTTTTAGGATAGGGTCGAGATTATAGTTAATAATGTCGATGTCTCGGTCTGTCTTGATAAACTTATACTCGGTCAAATGCTACATAGCTGTTTCCGCAAAAATATAACAGCGTTGTTTTTTGTTGTTTGTAACTTTTATTAGATTACATTACGACACCTTGAAATGGATGACATGTATCATGTATCCATTACTAGTGAAACATTAGCCGAACAAGTATGATAAGAGTTGAAGAAAGATTATTTTTAGAGAGAACTACTTACAATATTGGAATGCAGCTATATAACTAGCAGTTTAGTAGAATAATTAACGATATATTGGTAATTTTAAAGGATTTAAGTGGATGACATGTGTCTATCAGCAGTGAACCATTAGCAGAAGAAGTAGGGTATTTAGTTCAAGTAAGATTATTCTCGTAAATAGCTGTTTAATTATTGCATGAGCACGTTAGTAAAGCAATTAGCAAATTTTTGGTCTATTTTGAATAGCATGGCATGTGTCAATCAGAAGTGAACTATTAGCCGAAGAAGAGTAGTATTTAGTTAAAGTAAGATTAATTATTTATAGAAGAAGTAGTAGTTTTCACTAAAGAGCAAGAGAACGCACAAAACCACAATTTTTTTCTATTTTTACTGACAGTTCGACAAGCAAAACGATCCTTTAAGGTAGCCGTTTTCAAATCGCTTAGCGCAATCAGTAAAGACGCTAAGCGCGTCAGATGAGGTAGATAAGTGCGTGCTAAGCGAAAATTAACGTCATATACGTTGAGCGTCTAAAAGCCCTTAGCGTTTTCTACTAGAGTATACTTTAGTAGTATAAATAGAAAAATAATAGTTTATTTTGAACTGGATGGCATTTGTCCATTAGCAGAAAACCATTAGCCGAAGAAGTATGACGCAAAGTTCGAGTAAAGTTATTTATTTATAATTGTAACATCCATTGTTGTGTTCGAGAGACTGTGATATCGTTATTTTGAATATTTATTACCCGTACTTAACTCGTAGAGCAATCTTTAACACTATTTTTGATTCTTATATGATGTTTATTGACATATATTTTAACATTTTTATTACTAGTAATAAAGAAAGGTCTAGTATTACTCCCTATAAGTTTTATATTGTTACAGGGTCCAGGAAATATGCGGAGATTAATCTGCCCACTTAGGCGTACCCTTTCTGCATTTGTTTCTGGATTTTTTTTATTGCTGGTAAGTCCTCTCTATTATAGCATGTTGTGCACCTCAATATAAGAAATCCCATGTATAGGTGAAAAATGATAAATAAAAATTTCCCGTTTAATGTTTTGGAACAAAAATTGTATGAAAATTTTTAATCAACTTTTGTTTTACAGTTTTAAAAAGATGAAAAATTTGTTTAATATGTCTTCCTGTAAATATAAATACTCAAAATGATGCAATTTTACCTGCTACCTAAAAATAATAAAATCGTTTCTAACATTTTCAATAACCTTAGCAGAAACGAGTATACAGTGTTGTATTATTTACATTAATACCTCAAAATTCACCAGCTTTCTTTAAATACTTTGCTCTTGAAATATTCAAAAAGTAGTCAATGGTGTTGATATCAGGAGATGTCACTGCCTCTTCCACTTGCTCTTTTTTACCCATTCATCTACCTGGAAAGAGTTCTTGTACATATTCTGGAACAGATGTCCCAAAATTAATAAGCGGACCACCTTTTTGAAACCATATATTTTGATTCGGGAGATTGATTTCAAGAGGATCGGAAAATACATTTTCCAGATTTGGGATAAGCAGTTATAGAAACCACAAGTATGTGTCGACATTTATATTATCGTTAAAATGATTTAACTAATAGGTTCAATATGAATTGAATCTATCACTAGATCATCAATAATAATAATGCCCGTCCAAACGTTGACTTTCTGTAACTGTTGAGTGTGATTCTCCCTCATCCAGTGAGGGTTTTCGGTTGCCCAATAATTACAGTTCTGTCAGTTTACCTAACCATTCAATGTCAAAGTTGACTAGACAGAAAAATATGTTCTTCAGTTTCATGATATTATTGTCAAGTAGATACATCATTTGCTTGCACAAAACAATAAAATGCAAATAGAGGTTTAAGAATCTGTTCTTTAAAAAGTATTTTATTCTGAAATGTTCTACAACTACACTAGACGAAAAACGAAAGAATTAAAGAAATGTGAGATACACATGGTTATATTCTTAGACACCTACATTAATTTGCAAGAAATAATATAGTGCCAATAACCTGTAGTTCAATATATTTTGTACTAGTGGAATTTGATACTTTTTAAGCATTTTGTAGCTAAACTATTTGCCATTTTAGCTTCTTTTCAAATTAAAAAGTGCCCTATCTGTGTATTATACGAGGGGAAACAAAATGAATGTTAAAAGTTTGAAACACCACTTTATCGTCAAGATAGTTTGTTTTTTTGGGTTAATCTCAATAGCTTCTTTGTTACACACCTATGTTTATTGTTTTTCTAGTGTTACTGTTATTGAAAATTCATATTATTATTCCCACCATGTTAAATGGAAGCGAAACCTGGGTGCCATGCCGTACCGCCGACACATGAACGCATTAAACAAGTTGCAACAAAGACATCTTAGACAACTCTTAAGAATAAAATGGTTCCATCATGTCTCAAACGTATCGGTCCTTGAAAAAACTAACTGCGAGAGTATTGAAGTCATGATTACAAAGTCCCGCTTAAGATGGGCTGGTCACGTATGCAGAATGCAAGAAAACCGCATACCAAAATCTCTTTACGGTGAGCTTGTAGACGGTAAGAGGAGGTCTGGTGGACAACTCAAAAGGTTTAAGGATATTTTCCACGAAAACTTAAAGGGAATTAACAAGCGAGAGTGGGAAGAGGCAGCTCACAATAGAACGGAATGGAGAAGAATTGTAAAGTCAGTTAAGAGCGACAACCAAAAAGTAAAGAGGCAACAAAGCAATGAGATTTTTGAATGTTTGGAGTGCGGTAGACAGATAACATCACGTATCGGGCTTTTAAATCACAGAAAAGCTCATGAAAGAAAACGCTTTGCGTGACCATCTTCTGATGCGTGTCAAATACTCGTCAGCGAGTAATGGCGGTATATATATATATACATTATAACTCAAGAAAGGGAATCACACATTAGATCTGCAAGGTCGCGGTGATTAACTTCTCTCCTAAACATTCTACATTCTACATCATCTCTACTAGAAGAATTGCCAACAAACAATAATGTGAATTTTCAATAACAGTAACAATAAATACATAAATTATTTCATAGGTGTGATGATTAGGATCAAAAGCATTTTTTTAATGCCAAAATTGCTGTAAATCTTTACTGTCTCCTTCAAAAGCCAAACCTCCATTAAAAATAAAGATATTGACATTAATCAAAGAAAAATCTACTGAGAACAGATATGCTTCGCCGGTAAAAAGCTTTTAAAATTCCTTACTTTGTTAAACCATAAAACTGGGAGTTTCAAAACGTACGCCAAAATAACAATATTTTGTTTTACCTCGTATAATAAACAAATGTGTACTTCAAATTTTAATTTAAAAGGAGGCTATAAAGTCAAATAATTTAGCAACAAATTGCTTAAAAAATCATTAAAATAGGCCCACTAGGACAAAATATATTAAACCTTTTAAGGTGTCCATTTTTCGTGCAGGTCAGCGTGACATTATCCGAAAAAACTTTAATTACACTATATTTTATGTACAATTAGACCATTTAAATGTGACAAATGTTATTTTGCGTATCATGCCACTTATTCAAAAATATTCCTTTACACCCACATCAATTTAAAACAAATAATAGAGTACCTGTTACTGTCTGTGTAAATCATGGCCCAAAAAGAAGAACAATAAGTGAGACGAACGAGAAAAGATCGCGATCAGGCCAGACGTTGAGGAATTTAGGTAAATTTCCGGCCGGTATGAATCATGATAGGCGCATTCTCGTTGCATATAGTGGCAAAACGGGCAGGGTGCCTCCAGGCGTAGGCCTGATGGTACACAGAGTCGGGCTGGGAAACATTTCTTTTGTTGTTTTGAATAAGTACTGTTATGATTGGTTCATACATCGACTATTGGTTCTAGACTGTAGATTGTAGATTGTACGGAAGGAGGGAAGTTAATCACCGCGACCTTATAGATCTATTGTGTTCTCCTTTTTTGAATTATAACTCATCATACAGTCTGAGGACTTTGGAAAAAGCCAGTATCTGAGACGGTTTTACAGAGGTTAGTTCTCCTTCTCTGATATCAATCGTACCAAAGTTTATGGAACGAATGGTTATCGTCTTGGCGCACTCAGTGATGAGGTGTTCCGGTGTTTTCCCATTTTCTTCACAGAATCTGCATTCGCTTGAAGACAGTGTCCTGTTAAAAACCCCGTGACAATCCGAAGATTGTTCATACTTAAATCAAGAAAACTCTTTGATTTTTCTCGGTTGTAAGTCCTGAGAAATTTCTTCGACTGTTTTAGACTGTTGGAGGAATCCCATTCCATAGGCTTCCACTTGGGAAGCAGAACATTTTCGGTCCAGTTAGTGGAGTGTTCGCTTCTTTTCTAGCTAGATGTTTTTGTTTTTTCATTACCTTCTATCCCTTGGTAGACTGGCAGACAGAGTAAGAGGACTTTATTTTCTTTGCCTAATTTCTTCAGCTTCTCTAAGTATCATTCTTTGGCCAACTTCGAATTGATGGTTACTAAGTTGATCACAAACTACGAATTGATAGTTACTTGTTGATAACAAATGAAAAAAAGTGTTGTTTATAAAGGTTTAATACTTGCAACGTACGCAAATATTGGTGTACTTGCCAAGTACACGAGTCGTCTGAGTCTGGTTTAAGATAAGTTGTACGCGTTTTTCGATAGTGTTAATTTTTGCCTGAAGGATGCGGAGCAGGGCCTATTTTACCATAAGACCCATAAGGCCCGGGCCTTGGGCCCGGTGGTCTGGGGCGCCCGTTAAAGGTTGTAAAATATTCATAATTTCTTGACTTTTTGAATTTTATTGGAAAAGAGGGCCCGAATTTTTGCTTGGGCCTTAGGGCCCGACCATATGAAAAATAGGCCCTGATGCGGAGAAGGTACAGTACGCCTATCCGTTCTGTAGCTACGGGGTATCCGTAAGGGGGGAAACGATATTATCTGTTACCGTATCTGTTTTCGATGTTTCTCGAAAAAAATAAAAATTTGACAAATTTGCAAGCAGCCAATGAAATGTGTGGGCGGAGTGTTTTGCGTTGACATGTTCGTCAAGAAATCGTGGACTCTGCCGCTTCTATATAGGTAGCGATTTATAAAATATATTGCTGTTTATTTAAATGGTTTTTGTCCGCATTCTGTGCATAGACATAGATCCAGTAGACGTACTTTACCTGGTACTGGTTCGGAGTATTTACTTTAAGGCCCAAATACTCCTATCTCTGTTCTTGATTTGGCTTTCAAAGCATCAGCATGGTCTTTTACATGCTGAGCAAACGCTTCTCCCTACTGGTCGGTATTTGTCATCTACTGGTCGAGTTGGAGGAGTGGAATTTTTCTTTTAAAGCCGGAATCAGACGATGCGGGTACTTGGGAAGTACACCAATATTTGCGTACTTGACACGTATGCCAACTTTGTACCTAGTAACACGACGCTGCGAGTGACAAATAGTTGCACAAGTAAACCACTCATACAGCATGGCAAGTATATGCCAACAACAAATGTCTGCCAACTACACGAGTTTTTTGAGCCCGGTTTAATTCCAAGTTGCAATTTTTAGAATTTCAGAAACTAGAAAGACTAATTTTTGCTTAATGATAACGTTCACTTGTTTGTGCATAAACATTACTATTTTTTGTATAAAATAAAACTTTTATTAACATTATAATGAAAGAACCGGTAGCCTCTAAAGGAAAAATTTCTAAAAAATATTTTATTAATCCACTCTGATTTATTACAGAACTAAAATTATAACAGAACATCAACGGTTTATAATAAATATATCTGCTAAAAACTAAAGTGTTCTTCAATAGTTGTTTATAGATATTTTAAATAGTTTTTTCTTTCTTCTTTGTGTTTGGTTTGGTTTGGGGGTATGCCCCTTGAAACATTAAGCGTTTTTTGACGGTTAGGCAAATTAGTTTTTCCAAAAAAGTCCTATGGGTATTTCGCAACTGTAAGAAAATATATAAAGCAAAATAGTATTTTT